CAGTAAGAGCGGTGAGGAGCACCTAAAATAAGAGAAATAGAAAGGATGAAGGAAGAAAGGAGAAAAAGAAGGAGAAAGAGGGGGGGGAGGGGAAGAGAAGAGGTAAGGGTGTAGAGGGGGGTGTGGGGTAGGGGGAAGCCTGCCTGGGAGGTACCGTGCCCTAACGAGTAGAGGAACGAGCGATCCATACCCTAGGGTGAGAACGGGGGCGTGAGGGATGTTACGCTAGGCATGTGTCCGCCTGGAGGATCCAGGGCGTCCAAATCTATGCAAATTGGGGATATCTGTCATATAGTTGGGCGGTCAATTCTTCCATATGCATGATCCTATTCAGTTCCAAAACCCATTCTTTGGTTGAGGGAGCTATATTAGTGTTCCAGTGTCTGGGGATGAGGACCCTGGCGGCCGTAAGGAAGTATCGTAACAGGTCCTTTTTTATGGATTTAAAGGATCCCGGGAGAATGGAAAGGAGCGCAGCCTGAGGCGTGCGCGGAGGTTCAGTGGCCATCACTTTGTGATAAGTATCGAACACCTTGGTCCAAAAGGGCCTTAACTTGGCACAGTCCCACCATACATGCAGCATAGTCCCCACTGCCGAGTTGCAATGCCAGCAGGTATCGGGAATGGTAGGGGAAAATTTATGTAGGAGATGTGGACATCTGTACCATCTAGTGAGTAATTTGTAGCTGCATTCCTGAGTTGAGCTGGACATGGCGAGTTTGTGTGTCAGCGAGTAGGCTTTGAGTTTATCTTGCTCAGAGAAGGAGCAGCCAAGGTCTCTTTCCCATGCCTGCATGAAGGGTGGGACAGTATCCTCAGTAATCGTCAGAATCAGATTGTATAGGGTAGAGATCGTGTGAAGGGGGTCCGAGGTTTGAGCACAGATTGATTCAAAGGCCGTGAGGGGTCTGTGTGGGTCGGAGTGTTTACAAGTCGTGAGGTAAAAGTCTCTAAGTTGGAAGTAGCTTAACCAGTTACCAGGTCTTCTTTCCTCTGGTACGGTGAGGGAGAGTAGTGGTTTCATACCTGAGGGGGTGAGAGCGGAGAATAAATATGCAGGAGAGCCAGCGGACCAGTGTAAGAAGGAGGGCCCTGAGCATCCCGGGGGGAAGTTAGGATTGAACATGATAGGGGTCATAGGACCGTCGTGAGTTGATATGTGTCTGCTTTTAATCAACCCATCCCAAACAGAAAGAAGGGGAGGCACTGCGAATGGTAGATAAAGCTGCCGGGGTCTAGAGGAGGGGGCAATCCAGCAGAGGGAGGAGGTCGGCATCTCCATTAACGAGAGCTCCAATTGGACCCAATCTTTATGCGAGGAGTTATAAATAACATCTAGAAGTCTCGTTAAGTGGGAGGCCATATAGTAGTACTCAATGTGTGGCAGACCAACAACCCCATCCTGCTTGGAACGAGTCAGTATATCATATCTGACACGCGGTCTCCTGCCCCTCCATATATAGTGTGTTAAACCTATCTTAAGGGAGCGGAAGAAAGATTTGGGCAAATCGATGGGGACGGTCTGGAACACATAGAGTAATCTCGGTAGGATATCCATTTTGTACAGGGCCATACGGCCAAACCATGAGTGAGACTTTGTGAGCCAAGTTTTGAGCTTTTGGGAGATGTAGGACAACAATGGTTTATAGTTTAAATCATAAAGGAGTCCAGGGTTAGAGGGCAGGAGGACACCCAGATATTTCAGGGCTTGTGTCTGCCAAAGGAAGGGGTATGAAGACTGTATACGGGTGACCTCCTGCTGATCCAAAGTGATATTCAGGGCTTCGGTTTTGTGCGTGTTCACCTTAAAATTACTTAAAGTGCCAAAAATTTGAAATTCCTGCAGAAGTGCAGGAAAGGCATCACCAGGGTTGGATATGTATAGCAGCAGGTCGTCCGCAAACAGGCCCAATTTGTACTCCCGGGAACCTAGAGTCACTCCCTTGATAAGGTGGTTATTTCTAATTGCTATCGCCAGATGTTCCATTGCGAGTATGTATAAAAACGGGGAGAGTGGGCAGCCTTGACGTGTGCAATTATGAACCTGTACAGGGTCTTAAAGGATGCCATTAACTTTAATTTGTGCCGAGGGTTTATCATATAGGGCCGCGATTTTGGCTATTAGTGTTCCGGGTAGGCCAATCTGGGCAAGGGTCTCAAAGAGGAAGGGCCAGCTTAGGCGATCAAATGCCTTTTCCGCGTCAATAGATAATTGGCAAAGTGGGATGTTTTGCTTCTTCGCCCAGGACATAAGCGTTAGGGATTTTATAGTGTTGTCCTTGGCCTCTCTATTCGGTACAAAGCCTACCTGGTCAAGGTGGATCAGGGAGGGGATATATGATTTGAGACGGTTGCCTATAATTTTTGCATACATTTTTAAATCAATATTAATGAGGGAAATCGGTCTGTAACTGCCACAATTCGACGGGTCTTTATGTTCCTTCGGTATTACAGTAATGTGAGCCTCTTGGGATTGGGGAGGAAAGGGGCAGGAAGCGGAAATCGCGTTGAAAGTGGATAACAAAATAGGTGACAGAGAGTCTCGGAACTGGGTATAAAAAGGGGACATATAGCCATCTGAGCCTGGGCTTTTACCTGAGGGTAGGGAGTCAATAGTCTTAGTGATTTCCAGTAAGGTGAAAGGTTCAGAGAGAGAGGCGATAGAGGAGTCCGGTAAGGTGGGTAGGCCGGTCGAAGAAATATACGCACTTATATCGGTGAGCGAGGGGCCAGGTTGGGAGGAGGAATCGGGTGTAATATGATATAGAGTGGAATAGTAATGGTGAAATGCTTTAGCTATTTGTTCAGAGGCAGTGGCCCGGCCCTGTACAGGGCAGGTGATTTTGGGTATAAAGGTGCGCGTCTGTCTGCTCCTGATAGACCTAGCCAACAGTTTTCCACATTTGTCCCCAAATTCATGAAAGGTGCGGAGAGTGGCATCCCGATAACGTACGCGGGAAAGGGACATGAGCCGCATTAGTTCAGCGTGTGTGTCTGATAGCTTCTGGAGCGTTGCATAGTCGGGGTTCGATTTGTGCTTACGTTCCAGATCACGAATGTCCGACAGGAGAGACGTGATTTGTTGTGACTTAACTCTTTTGAGACGAGCCCCATGTTTCATCAGGATGCCTCTCAAGACACACTTCAGCGCCTCCCACTTAACGGGAGGAGGTGTTGGGTCTTGAGCGTGGACAAGTTGGAAGGAAGCTATACTGTTCTGAACATCAGAGAGCACATCAGGATCGCGTAATAGGCTCTCGTTCAATCTCCAAGTGGGAAAACGTCTATAGGTGTCAGGCACAGACAGGGTAAAAAATAGGGGGAAGTGATCTGACCACAGTTTAGAGCCAATGTGGGATTGCGGGCGCCAACTTAGTAGTGAATGTGAGGCAAAAAAGTAATCAATACGGCTGTAGGTGTGGTGAACAGGTGAGTAAAAAGTGTAATCTTTTGTGGTTGGATGCAAAGTTCTCCACAGGTCAACGAGCTGTAATTGATGTAGACGGTATTTCATCGAATTGATGGCAGAGTAGGACACGTGTGTTTTATGTGATGAGGAGTCTAAAGTGGACAAAATTGAGGTCCCCTCCCATGATCAAGAAGCCAGACGCAAAGGATTCTAATTTAGTCAGAATGGGGAGGAGTGCCTGTGTTGGTGACAAGTTTGGGAGGTAAATATTTGCCAGGGTGAAAACCTTACCATATAGTGAGCATTTGAGGAAAATGTAACGCCCAAATTCGTCTGCCAGTGTGAGAATTATGAAGACCAATAGCCACTCCTCTGGTTTTGCGGTCAGGGTTATTGCTGGTATACCATGCGCGATAATATTTAGTGGGCATGCGTGGGGCCGCATTGGCTCTAAAACATGTTTCCTGGAGGAAAAGACGCCATAGCATCAATAAGGGGAGGCAAGGGCAAAGAGATAGGTATGGCAGCGTTCTCCCAGGCAGGCTCCAGGAAAGGGACCAAAAGAAGAAAGAGAGCAGAGGATGGGAGGATAAGGGCAAGAGAGCCAGGTGTGGGAAAAGAGGGCAGAGAAAGAGATCAGGAAGAAAGGAGAGAAAAAAAATTTAACAATAAAAGTGCTTTTCAACTAACATCAGGGAGAAATCCCTAAACGTGTGCACCACGAGTCCCAAAATCCAGGGGTGGTCACGGTGAACAAATCCTATGGGGGAAGACAAAGTGGAGTGTCCCCGCCGACCATCGTCGCGTCGGGGCACACCCAGTGAGCAGATCCGGAGAGGGTGTGGAGGAATGATCCATGGCATTCACCAGTCCGATGGTAGGGACTTCAGGGATCATCCAATAAAGCGGCTGGTAAAAGAAAAAAACAAATCCCAAAAGGATGTGTGGGCTTATGGTGGGGACTCACATGTTGATGAGGACGGAGCTCCACGAGGGGGTCCGGCGGCCATTTCGGATTCCAGCTGCAAGTCCGGCGGCCGCTGGAAGAACGGCAGAATCCTCTGTGTGGGGGCAGAGCCCGAGGTCTTCGGTCTTGTGCCGGTTCTGCGGGGAGTGTTGCGGCCCATCAGGTGTCACTTCGGTGATGCAAATCGGTTCGAGGAAGGTGATTAGCGGGTCGGCTGCGGGAGCTCTCAGTAGACGCGTCTACACAGGTCCATCGGCAAGCCACGCCCCCTGCTCCCACTGTTTTGATGTTTTTATTTCTATGCGTCCCTATCAGGCAGAGTTCCCCTCATTTCCTGACAGAATTTGAAATGATCAGAAATCTTTGCACAGACAAAAACACATTTTTAGTGGAGCACAGATGGGTTACAACTTTAGGCAATGTCTTTGTTGCTGTGTGTGACTTCCTGTGCTGGTGACAACCCCTCCACCTTTCTTGTTTTGGCTTCACATGGTCAGGAAATGAGATGAAGTCTCACCAGTGAATTCACATTTAAAGTAGAATCTTGAGAGAAATATGACCTTTTCTCCATTCTATCCAATGCTACTGCCAGAGTTCTAAACTTTGTGTTTCCTTCAATTCCAGGAACTGTAAACAGAAGCACAGTTGTAACAGCTAGCACAGCAATCCAACTCCTTGATGACCGGAAATCTCCTGTGGTAGCAGGTACTGTACTTTTTTTGTTACTTGTTTTAGTCACAGACAGTTGTGGAGAGGAGTTGTTGGCCAAAGTTTTCATGTTGCTCTTACAAATCAAAGAAGGAATCTGAAATCTGATCAGTTGCTATGGGTCACTGTTCCACTTTCGGCTTTTATAAACAGGTCCTCACAAATTGTCTAAGGGACTTATTTATAAGGAAGGTTCTGGTTTGCAGCATCTTTTATTATCTAGTTCCCCCGGCTGTGTTCCTGGATATTTATAAAGCTCAATACTACAGAATGGCAAACTAGAAAACTTGCAAGTTGTGTTCAAATGCAGAATGGAATCAACATGGTGTAATATAAAATGTTGTTGAAGGGAAGGAGCAGGATGAGTTCTAAGGAACAGGACTGCACTATAGATTGAGAGCACACTTTGCAGGATGGGACAATGAAACTAAATATATGACCAAATATATGTTGATGCCTTCTTTTCAGGGAAAGTGTTGGTTTATAGAGTTGTGTACAGTTTAATATTTTTTGTTTAATATTGATTGCCATGCACAGTCAGAGGTTTGGGGTAAAGAGAGGACATCACTGTATTCCTCAAGTGTAAGGCCTGGTTCACAACTAGGCGGCACTGTTTTTGTGAGTTTGGATGCATGTGAGCAGCATGCATTTATCTGCGTGTTTATGCACGTTGTGCACATTTTTTATGCACATTTTTACCCGCATACATGAAAACGCATGTTTTGACTGCCAGCTCATTAAACATTTTGGGCAATGGAGGAACGTGTGTTTCAAAGTGCAAAAATGCTCACGAAAATGTGCAACATGCTTCTGCCGTTTAATTTTGGGCATTTCCATTGAAGTCTAACTGGTCGTGTCATTTTGGGCATTTCCATTGAAGTCTTTTCATTGAAGTTCCAATGGGATTTTGGGCATTTCCATTGAAGTCTAAGTGGCAAAAATGCACTTTTAATTGCCCAAAGAAACTCATGTGCCTTTTGGAGCATTTGGCTTTTTCCTGCTGGTGTTTTTCTGCTCAGGTGTGAACCAGAGCCATTGAAAATCATGGGATTTCTTGTGTTGGGCAATTAAAAGCGCTTTTCCAACTGCTCAAAAATTCCTAGGTGTGAACCAGGCCTAAGTGGTGTCCTCCACTGTTCTATCTGGCAGGGCTGTATAAATTGCAGGACTGGAGGGACAAAAAACACAAACGTTTGGCAGGTAAAACAGTTCCAGTATATGTATTCCATCTGTGTATTTAGCTGTAGTTCAGCTAGAAATGCTTTAGAGGAAGAGGGATCTGTTTAGTGATGTAGTGTTTTCAGTTCATTCATTCAGACTGGAAAACTGAGGTCTGCAGGGGTCTGAGCCCTTTTTTGGAATCAACCATGCTAATAATGTCATATTTATTAGGCTCTGTGAATGTCTGTGTTAGCACCTCCTCTAATATCTAGCCAATGTTACCAAAGATGATTCAAATAAGTTTTCACAGAATTCTCCCTCTAAAAGTTAATGAGCTGATGGTTGTAAATCAATGATCAGTCCCTCTAAGTAGAAGAAGTTTAGTCCTGCCTTGAATATTTTGCAACCCGTATTTTTATTTATGTGACTTATATTTGGAAAGTAATCATGTCAAAACATAAACTATCATTTGTATTTGGAAACTAGTGGGGATGTTCCCACACATAATAATTTAGTTTTGGTTGGAGGCTAATAAGGCTCTGAATGTGGTCATTTGTCCTTCAGTTTCTTCTACTGAAATGATCTTCAATGACCTACACCCGTTGCTGCTCGGTTTACATACTGGGATATATATATATACAGTTGCACATAGAAAGGTTATTCTGTGCTTTACTGACATCTGATACAAGAACCCCATGGTCACATCTAGTATCTAAGAATTTGTTCACATGATATGGACTACAGTCAAGTACAATAAACCAGGATGCCTAAGTTCTTTGATGGCTCCTCAAATGCCACACACAGGACTTTTCTTGGCCAACACAAAACAACTTTACTGGAAAGCAATCCTCATCTATATTGGTCTGGTAAACCCAAAGTGACACTTGGCCGTGCACATGTGATTCATTTAATAATAATGATAATTGCGATACAGTGGTTTCAATGTCTTAAATCTAGAAGTGTTTCACCAGAGCAATTACAAAGACATCTCAATATTTCATATTACCAAATTGCTAGTTTGGAGACCCCTCAAATTACATGGTTCATAAACCGCTGAACAATATGTTCTATAATTTATTTGTACATAGGAGAACAGCTGAATTGCAAATTGCCTGACTACTGTGTTACATAATGACTTGCTGCAAGTTTAACCTCAAATTTCCAGTGAAGTCCAATTACAATTTGATATCCTATATCAAAATGGTTCTAATCAGTTTTTAATGATGTAGAGCCACGTTATTTCCTTTTATTGTAGATATTTTTTTTTTCTTTTAAGGTTAAATAATATCAATTAATGGTATGGCAGCATGGGGTAAATACCGAGCGCCCAACTTTTCAGAGGAGGGTGACACCAAAATGACTGTGAGTCATTTTGGTGTCACCCCTCCAATGGTGTCACCCGGGTGCGGGCCGCACCCCCCGCACTCCCTTTGTGACGCAACTGCCGCTGTGTAACCTGTCATGTCATGGACAGAGTGCTGCCTGTTAATTACACACATCGCTGCATCCGGCTTTTGACAGGTAGGTTACACAGCAGCGGGCTTCCCCACTGCTTGTGCAACCTAACTTGGTGAGGCAAGAGCTGTCACAGCCTCTACTCTGTGTTAGAGGCGTGAGCTCTGTGGATGGCTTGGACCAATGGCAAAGCGCCATTGGTCCAAGCTGTCCAATCAGAAAAACAACAACAAAAAACAGTGAGGACATCGATCTCGATGCCTCACCAGTGATGAGCAAGTCCTCCCCACACAGCTTGGTTACCGAGATGGGGCAGGGCTTCGGCGGGATGGCGATGGAGCTTCAGCGGGCTGGAGGATGCTTCACCCAGCACAGAAGGCACGGCACGTCACTGCTATACAGCAGCGCTGTACCAGGACTGAGAACCAATTAGGAAGGCTGCATGCTAATTTGCTAAAAAGGAAGATGCGTATTAGATTATATAGAATAGTGAGCAGAGGGACAATTTATTTAGTCTGCCACTGCTCTTTCACTGTCCAGTCAGTTGTTTGGGTAAAGAGATACCACTGTATTCCTCAACTGCAGGTGCCTGGCTGTGCTATCTGGTAGGACTGTGTATATCTCAGGACTGAATAAACAGAAATACAAATCGTTTAGCAGGTAAAATAGCTTTAGTATATGTATTCTATTTGTGTATTTAGCTGGAGTTCAGCTTTAATTTTTCATTCAAGAATAAATATACATGTTTGTAGCTTTTCTTGATGAGTGTAACTATCTACGCAGTACTGTTTGCTATCAAAAGCTAGGCATTAGGCAGTTAATAAAAGCACCATTTAATATAGCCAACCATTCATTTAAAAATATTTTTTTTTATTCATTATTTTTTTTGCATAGGACTGGCGAATGTGATTTAATCTATCTCAAGATTAGCCTCTTGTGATCCTCTGCACAGCAGTACTCAGACAGGGAGAAGGCAGAAAAGCATTCACAACCAGGCAGGGCTCTGATGCTTTGCACAGTGCTGTCAGAACATGCTTATAGGAGTGTGGGCGAAGGGGACAACCCAGTCAATGTCTATCTGCTCCTCCAATTTCCATTCACAGGGTGGATGAGTCTTGGCCCGGGCTGTATTGCTTAAGTGGAGTGTAAACTGAAGAGAGGTCCAGGGCCAAACTGTAGTGCCTGGCGGCATAAATAGAATTGCAAACAGTTTACATACTGTATATGTATATGAAATGTGTATTTAGCTGTTTACCTGGAGTTCAGCCTTAAAGTAACATTTCCTAAACAAAAAAAAGTTTTAGCTTTACATGCACTTTAATTGATTATGCAACTAAACCTCAAACTAACCCTTAAACCTAAACATTCCAGAATCAATCCCAAAACTAACTCTACAAGTGAAATTTACACTTTGATGACTTTAAATACTATAATGTCATCGTTAGGGATGTTCAGATACCGAGTATCGTACTCGGTACAAGTACAAGTACAGATACTTTTCCAGCTGCAAGACTAAACTACAGAAAAATTCAAAAATTAGGAGGCCAATGTCAATTTTATGGAGCGTACAGATCTCGTGGGATTTGTGAACTCCTGTTTTAATATAAGATTTTTTTGCTGGGTCCCTGGTAGTTCTCGTGAAAATGCCAAGTATCTGGTATCTGAACATCTCTAGTCATAGTGACAGCAGTGGCAATAATACTATCACACAAAAAGTGTGTCTATTGAGTAAAGTTGGGTCATGTATGCCATTGTGCAATGGTGCATATAATAGGTTAGGCTTGATTTTAGTCATAGCCTAGTGCTGAAGGCCCTATGATGTTTTGGCATGCATAGTTGTACCCCTGCTGTGCTCTGTGCAAAGAGAAGTATGTCTTCCAAATCTTTTACTTGTACTTTATTACTGTTACCGGCAAGTAGCTGCAGACATTCTAAGTAATTTGTGTATAAGAATAAGGTGAGAGACATAGCCTATATGTAACACAAGTCTGTTGGATTAATGGAACATGACAGCATTACTGGGCTAGAACTGATTCTCTTCATTCTTAAACACTAGAGAAAGCTCTGACTCTGCAAGGACTGTGATGCATCACATCATGCAAATCAGCTCATTAGCATGTTGAAGGTGATTGTACAGTTGTAAGACTGGAGAAATCCTAGCGGCACGCAGTAATAAAAATTTGAGAACAATGCTTCGGCTTATGCCACATAAGATTCAGCATAACAGAACTTGGCCTTCACATCCCAGCTTAATTTGCTTTTTTTGTTTGAACGCTGTCTTCAAGCATTACAGATAGGTTATTTGCAATTCATGATGCCCCCAATATAAAGAATACTTGAGTGTGTCTGTATTTTGTTTATTTTGCTTTTTCAACAACCAC